TACTAAAGAACAAAAGGAAAAACATTCAGAGCAATGAGATGCATTACCTGATGTTTACACATCATCCCTCTGTCTCTTCATTTTAAAAGCACCAAGCATTGCTTGTAATTTCACTTCCAGGAAATGAATTTGTACCAGTAGCTTTAAAGATAAATTTGTCAACTGGTGTTTATTTTTTATTCTTTTGCTTTAAAAATGCATGAATACAAGAGGTAAGGTATATTGTACATATTGGATCCGAATGTATGTTTTGATAGCATTCTCATACGATTTAAACTATAGCTTACCACTGATTCTATATTATGCTGCTTTCTAAAAAAAAGAGAGAACCGCCTCCTAGGAATTAAGCTTCTGCCATGAAAAGAGCCTGCAGCTGTTCATCATTGCAGCTGATAGAAATCATAAAAATTTTACATTTTAATTGATCTGTTCTAATTTAATGCCAATGATAACTGGAGGTGGGTTTTCTCCAGGTGGTACTATTGCCTCTCATCTCCCAGAGAAAATCGGACTAGGTTAATTGAGGACACTTAATTGTCCCTCAAAGCTTGTGTGTGTGTGTTGAGCGTTGAGCAGTGTGGTCCCAGTTTGTGCCCTGTGCTTCCTCTCTGAGAAAATGTCTGAGACCTCTTCATGAATACCTCCATGTTGTAGTATGTAATTATCTTTTAATACGAGCAGATACAAAAAATTCATATCTAGAGTTCACACCTGGGTGTGGAGAAGTCCTAGAAGTGATTTCCAGCTATGCAGTCTTCAACTCAAGTTCAAGTGGCCCCTGGGAGTCTCAGCTGTGACTAAGGGTTGATGCCCATATTCTTGAGTTCTGTTGTGATACCCTGTACTGTACTGAATGACTGTTTCTGGTCAACTCATGTTTAACAAGGCAAACCATGTGAATTGTGTCATTAAAATTCATTCACTTCCTATGTAGTAACTGTGAAACACTTTCACAATTACAGACAGATTATGAACTGTCAGCAGCAAATAGCTCATCTCTTGTTAAACATTGAATGAGGAGAATTAGAGATCAGAGCTCCACACAACATCTGCTACAATTCTTTCTAAAATTATTATAAGTACAATTCTTGTGTACTAAGGATGACGTGGTGTCAAGTGCTCTAATGGGCTCAGCAGGTGTCACTGATGTTTTTCAATGGTGGCTGGCACACTGTCCTTCAAGGTCAAGGTCTGTGGCCCTTATTCCATCTCTGTCAATATAAATATATTTTACTGTATTTCTGCAATATATTAAGCATTATCAGTGCAAGTAGCACTTCAGTAACACCAGGTTGAGTTGTCCTTCACCCTAAAATAGCCTATGCTGTCAAAAATGCCTAATATGTGACATGCAGTTAGACAGACGGTAATCTCTTATTTTCATGGACATTGCAGTACCTATTTCAAGTACAGTCTGTGCAGTACCTAAGAGCATCAAGAAGTGTAATTTGTACTTTCATTAAGTCATCGCTTCCATCAAATTGAAAATATTGAACAGGACTGAGATGTTACGTTGTACTATATGTTATTACTTACTGCACATCAGAGCATGCTTACATTTAAGGGATGAATATAGAATTAATCTTTTTTTTTTCCAATAAGGAGCTAGTGCACCAAATTAGTTGTATTTTACCGTCCACTCTCCAATGGCCCAATAGATGACCTTTAATCAGTCCACAAAGTTCTGAACCCTACTGTTGGCTTTACCAGTCTTAACAGAATTGATCAGTTAAATGCTGAAACACATATTAAAGAGACAAATGGGGTGCAAAGGAACATGAATGCTCACTGATCATCTGTTTAAATGATGCCACAATTTGAAATATGAGAGGAATGGATTCTAACCCATGTGTGACCCTCATTGGAGTATGATTTATACACACTTATGAGTAAACAATGAGGGAAGCTGAGTCGCAAGGCCGCATCTCCAGCAACATGATTGTATATTAAGGGCTCACTGGAGGAAAATGAATAATGTATAGTAACTGTCAGAGTAGTTAATGAAAGTGTCCGCAGCGGAGTGCCTAAATCAAAACTAATTTTGATGGACTAATTTCCTCACCAATGCTTACAACATGCTTCAGTGAGCAGATGCACATGGGGTCATCTTTTTACCCAGGTGCTTTAAGACGATGCAGGAAAAGGCGGTGAGTTTTAACATATTGTAGCAGATCACCATGAACTCTTTGGCATCCCAATAAAAACTTAAAAATTACAAAGGCCAGATGAATTTACTGATTTCCTGAGCAACCTGATATTCTAGCTCTTCTGTCCCTAAGTTTGGTTCTTAATAAAGCATTCCTTTACCTTTTGTTTTTCTGTTCACTGGTGGATGCTACTGTATTTGGCCAGAGGTCAAGGCTTAACTAATATAAATTATGAACAATGTGACACAGCAGCCATCAATGTGTTTAGGTTCCCTAAATATTCAAACAGACCTTAGTAATGTTTTCAAGTGACCTTGAGTTGTATCACCCAAGACTTTACCAATCAGCCTCCCTGGGAGAAGATACTCTCTGTCTTGTTCAGTTTTCTTATATACAGTAAAGAGAGAAATCAGCTCACTACAGGTAGCGCTGCTTTCTCTGTACACTAATAAGTTCTCCAGTCTCTGGAGTACTTATGCACTGCTCTCAGCCATCTGACCTCAGCTCACCACTCCAGATTCCGATGCTCCATCACAGGGATCTAATCTTAGTAGCATAAAAAAATGTGGTGTTGTAACAATCAAATAAATGTCAGAGCACTTTTCAAAGCTTTAACTGATGGCCCATGGAGCTCATTGAAGTTGCAAGTGATTGTGGTGCTCATTTTTTTTTGCATATAAATAGGGACAGAATTCTGCATGATAGCTTCTGTTTTGAAGTGTGCTTGCACATCTTAATCCTGACATGACTGATAATGTATCAATTATCATGTTTTAAATATCAAATGAATTGCAGCTTGCAATTTGCTGTAGATTATCATCATGATTAGTAATGCTGTGGAAATTTGTAATACAATGAACTGATAATGAGCAAAGACTCTTCCATTTCTTATTTTAAATAAACGTAAAATATGTGTTTATATACTTAATAAAGATGATACTATGTATGTTTATGCCTTCTGTGGCCACCTTTATAAATTATATCAGATTTAAACCCTACTGTTTTAAAATTTTGGTGTCACATTGTGTATAGGTATTATCTGGGACTCTATTTCTGTCATTACGTGTCTAGATACAGGGAATGCATGGCTGCCTGTGAGCAGTAGAATGATCATGAAAGAGCTCCAGTTGACAGTGCAAGTGCAAGGCACAGGTTCAGACTATACTGCATTGTACAGCACCTCATTCTCAGTTGTATAACCAGGAGATTATGAAGATTCCAAAAGCTAGTATTCATCCTTATGACTTATTCACACACATGTTCGCATGTTCGCACAAGTTCTCATGAAATAAACTCCTTATGTAAATTCCAGTTGTACTGGATGTCAACTCATGTCAGCCTACAAGACGTTTGTGAGCATGGAAGAGCTCTAGATAATTACAAACCCCTTATGAGTAAAGGAGAGATCTACGGTCCTACAAGCCTCTAATGAGCATGGAGGTGATCTAGATTACTACAAGCTAAGTTATGTAATTGTCCACTCCTAGACAATTACAATGCCTTGATGTCTTCAAAAGAGATAAGTTCTGCAAAAATTTAAAAAGGCTTTTATTCTTTTAATTCTAAGCTTCCATTGCATGATTCCATTTAACACTGGTAATACTTGTGATTAAGCAGCACTAAAAGCCTACCTGCCTTGACTGCAGGAGTCACTACGTGAGTAATGCCATTGTCAATTGACTTAAGATAACCTGCAAACTCAGGAGTTTGGATCCAATCTGTGCTTTGAGCTGAGTCCTTCATTGGTTGAGCCACTGCATAGCCCTTCGGTATGTGAGAAAGATACGAATGTGATCAGAAGGCAAAATAGTTAAATCTGAAGCAAGTTAGCCTTGTTAATTTTTTAGAGTGCATATGTTTTCCAAATCCCTTGTTAGTCTCCAGAATTTCTTCTGCCTTTACGTGTAAACTAAAGAAAGGAAGTGCCGCAGGGCACTCTGCGTCCCTGCTAACAAGCGAGTAAATGAAGTTTGTAACATTTGTAACTAACAAGTGCTCTTACATGTCTCAAAACTCCAAAACATAAATGGCGCATATTTATATCATTTAAACTCTTTAATTGCACCATCAACAAGAGGAGCTGTATTAAAAATTCTCTGGCAAAGTTAAATATTCCTAGTTTCTATTTTCCCATGACAATGTGTTTATAAATAGACATACTGTATTCATTGCATGGAAAGGACCACAGCTTTTTTTAAATACAAAATTAACATGGTTACTTTTTAGCTCATTAGCCTGGAAAAAATCTCACAGCTGCTTTCAGGAATCTCAGAATGATGATGCCCCTGAAAAAATGAGGGACTGAGTAATAAAATGTTCTAAACATATTTCTACATTTCTAGTGAGAAATAGTCATTTCTCCACCAGATCTGCTTGTGTATAATCGCTGCCTTGAGCTCCCCTGTGAGGAGTTTACATCAGTAGTGGATGAATGACTGTCTTGCTATAATTGAAGCAATTTTGGTATTAAAAGGAGCTATATAATTTCAGTTAAGTAATTTTTAATAATTATTGCGAAGACATGAAGGTTCAACTCAGTGTCTCACTAATAGAAAAACCACCTACAGTATACACACCTGCCAAATGAGCCTAACCATTTTTCCTGAAGATAGCACTTACCTGCAATGCTTGAAACTTTGTTCTCTTAGAAACACAGGGAATATAAATGTCAACCCTCAATTTAGAACTGCAGCCTATGTTAAATTACTGTATATAAAGTATATTTGCAAGAATTAACATATGGTGTTAGATTAATATTATGTTACATAGCTGCAAACATTGCTCCCACTGATCATTATTTTCCAATCTTGCCCAGATGCAGTTTAGTTAATATTCTGCTTGTTTCTCTTCCAGCTGGGGACTTGGGATCCGGTTAATGGCCTGAATGGGACTCTGACAGACAGGAAACTGGAGAACAATATGCGTGGTGTGGTCTTGCGTGTGGTGACAGTGTTGGTAAGAACTCTTGTCTACAATATAATTGTAATACCTTATTTCAAATGAAGGGAAAACCATTATACATAATACAGTTCCCCCACCCCATTCACACTCCTCTAGGTTGTGCACAGGCTTTGAAATCATGAATAATTAGGATTGACATTATGAAGAGTTTGGTGTGAAGAGGGAATGTTTGGGTGTGTGGAAAAAGGGGATCAATTGTTCAGATTCAACAAAAATCCACAATGTAAGATGAGCACCACCACTAGAATCTCCTTTACACAGCTGGTTAAAGCCATGGCCTAGTTTCAAACAAGTGTCCTAAAAGCTGCAGAACCCAACATGCACACCTAATGGAGACTTAAAATGGACTGGCCAATTCTGATAAATACAATATTTCAACAAGTAATTAAATAAAGAAATGGATAGCAACATGTGTTAGTGTTTTAACTAATTTAAGGGCAAAAGGGACCAGAATGTTGTAATATGTTATATAGTATAAAATATACAGTATATTCAAAGGTTAGATGTATCTCTGTTCTAACATTGGCTTTATATACAGTAGGAGAAAATAATTAGATGTCCATCTGGACAATGTTGTTTCCAAGTGTTGTCAAACAGACTGTTAATTAATATTCACATTCCCATAATTCACACAGACGGCTTGCTCTTAAAAGACACCATAACCCTGAAAGGTGTTCTTTCCCAGATATGTGTGTGTGGCTTCTGTATTCAAACATTTCAGTTCAGTCTGTTTAACTGTAGATAGAAAAATGCATGACTGTAAAAGAAACAAATTGGTGACAGAAATACAAAGGATATGTAAATGCAGGTGAAAACATGTCTCAAAGCCTGTGAAAACATGACAAGTACAGGTATTACACAGAACTACTGTATAAGGGGTGGCATTATAGAAACAAGTGGGATTAACTCACTGAGATTGACATTAACCTAAGGGACTACAGTACATGTGAGCATGTATTCTTACAAATGATAGGCTTTGTATTAGTAAGCCCTTTGCCTCCTGCATGCTGGCAGTTACATGCTTTTCTGTGTCTGCACCTACCATGTCTCACTATTATTTCCTGATGGTTTATGACATTACCAGCAATTCAAGACAATGACCATGAAATCGTTATTCTGCCCAAGACAAAAAGAGGCTGAAATACCTGGGCTAACGTCCCTCCAGTTCATGGCAGAGCACAAGGAATCTCTTGCCTCATGATTTTTCTCTTTTTATTCGTTCCTGTCAAAGTGATCTTTGTATGAGTTTGAAACAAGCACACATTCACACTTTTTCAGGAACGAAAAAACAAAAACAAGAACCTCATTCACACTTACATACTGCAGCTCAGGAAATAATTAACTGGACAGGCAGCTGTGTCAATGACTTATTGCCAATTCAGTTTCTGTAAGGATAATATGGTCTGCTGGAGCTTGTCTCCTACTTTTGCTGAGTTATGCTTGAGGCAGTGTAGATAATAACACAACAGGAGTGTCATTTAAACTACATGGCAGCAGAACTGAGAAAATTGATTTACTGCCTTTTGAAAGATTTTGTGTGTGTTTGAGTGTGTGAGGGGTGATGTGTCTTAGTGTAAAGTTCCTGGTAAACTATAATTCAGAAACTCACTTTAAATGGTAACAGGTCTCGTAGTTCCACAGAAGTGACGTTATTGAAGATAAAACCACAAATAGAAACAATGTTAAGGGTGCTGAAAAGCAGGGCAGTGAAGCTTTTCAGGCTGATGGGTGCAAAATGAAATCAGGCTTCTACAGTTCTCAGAACATCCCCAAGCTTTCTGACAGACACTTTTGCTGGCTGGCCTATTTGGACTAGATACCAGTACATTTTTGCAGCACTTATAAAAGTAATATAAATTAAAAAAATCTGTATATTCTCTGCTGATTTCCTCACCATCTTGTCATAATATCTGTGAGATTATTCTAAAAAAAGGCCCCCAGGAAATATAAAAGCTTTTTCAGAGACAATTGTGTCTTATGCTAACTCTGTGGCAATACTTGCAGAGGACCTGCATACAGTTATGGGACAGATGAATCAAATAAAGTAGGATAAGCTTAAAGTATTTATTGCTCAGTTAAAACCCCAATCTGGTCACCTCACATTTAAGCCAACAATGGAGTGCTGAAACAGGACTATAGAAAACCAAGTTGAATAATTCCAGAGCCGAAGGGTGAGATTTATTAGGATAAAATACATATATTTCAGCAAACTGTAAAGTGGGCTCTTGAGAATTTTAACTAAGAGCTTTAAACCCCTTTTGACAAACATTACTTTTCAATTAGGTCAGTTTAAGTTATTTTGCACTAAAATAACTGTACCCAGGGGACACACGTAACGAATACAGGGAGGCACAGGATGAGACAATGGAAATGGAGACTATTAGAAAAATAAAACAGACTTTGCAAACCATGCTGTATATATGTTAATTCATGCAATTTTCTAAGACCTGTCAAGAGAAAACATTTTCAATATTACTTATATTACCTTTTGCTATAAATATTAGACTTTTTGTACCCTTCTGGAAATTGAATCAATTTAATTTGTTTATAGGGGGTGCAGGAGACCTCCTGCTCATTTAGCTAGATGTACTGCAGATCTGGGCTTCACAGATCCACAGATGCTAACAACTGTAAACTCGGCTGCATTCTTTGGTGTTTCTTTTACCTTTTTGACTGCAAGATGTCCCAAAACACGCTTGGATCTGAATTCCACTGTCTTCTTGAGAACACCAAACACTGCCTGCAGTGCTATTACACCATATCAGTTTTTTTCAGTCCCATCCCAGGTTTCCTTTGATATTTCTCTCCATGTATTTCAAAGCCCAGAATTGGAGGACACACATTTCTCCATCTCTTATAACCATATTATTAAGTCCTTTATCATGAAACATCATTATATTTTCCCCTATTTTTGTTTCTTCGTGGTATACTCTATATTGACTTTTACAGTATGCTTGAAAATACTCTGCCATTGTGTTTTGAAGGGACAAATGAAAAGAGATGTAAGTGTAAAATGGGCTCATCTTGTGAGTTGTGATTGAGTGCTTTTTACATGGGCACATTGTCAAACGCCTATTGTACTAAACTCCAAAAAAACCTCAAAAATGAAAATATCAAAAAACACAAAAATACCATCAAAGCTTTAGTTCTTGTAGTGCCCAGCTCACATTCATAATGTTTCTAAAGGACCATTTTGCCTGATTCTCTAACCCTAACTCTAGCTCCACATTTTATAGCTGAGAAATGAGTGGAGAATGAACCATACTCTGTGTGACTGCCTGCACCCATGAAGATTTTTTCAGGTATGGTGTATTCCAATGGGAAATCGTGGCAGTTTAGACACTTTTAAGAATGCAGAATAGAAAATTTTTGTAAGTGGAGTTTGAAAATGTTTTTTTGTGAATCTCTGTTTTGAACAGGGCATAGAAAATTGTATGGTGAAAAATGCTGCAGCTAGGGTTAGGGTTAGAAGTTCCAGCAAGGTACTGTATGTCAACTTATTTGTTGAGTAATTGGCAGAAGCTCTTTTGGCAGCAATTACTGCTGTGCATTTGGAGAGGTTTCTGCCAGCTTGGCAGATGGTGTAATTCTATTCCCTTTTCCTGGCAAAATTGCACCAGTAATAACAAGACCATCAGGGATATTTGATGGACTACATTCCTCAAGACTTGCCATGAAGTTTCATGGAAAAATTTAACTTCAAATCAGGTTTTTTACTGGTCCACTGAAGCATAGTCACTCTTTTTGTATCAGATCACTCTAGTATGGACTTGACCTTTAGCTTCAGGTCACTGTCCTGCTGAAATTTTCAAACCAGTTTTACTGTATATTCTTGGGTGACTCAAACAGTTTTTCCTCAGGGATTTTCTTGTACTTTGCACCATCTACAGTATTTTTGCCTCTGTCCTGACAAGCTTCTCAGTTACTTCTGATGAGATGCATTGCTATATCTTCATGCTTCCATCAACACCCTTGACAGATGGAAAAGTATTGACTGACTGATATGCAGTATTGGACTTGTTTAAGATATAATACTTGTTTAACCTTAAAATCTTATCACTTGTGCAGTGTATCTCCTATGAGATTTAATATAAGACTTTTTCAGGAATGGATTCTTTCTTGCCACTAACCCATACAGGGCAGCTTTGTATGCAAACTGGGATATTGTTGGAATATGAACACCTCTATCTCTGACACATGCAAAATATTCAAATCATTTCTGGATTCACAGAACTCAATATTTTTCATAAAACACTACCTTGTTTAGAGTAATGAGGTAAATACAGTAAAAAGATAAATCAGTAGTTAATGGTTTGCTGGAGATTTGTATCTCTAGTGGTTGCAAGACTCCAACTCTGTGCTTTGTTTCCTGATATGGCCATAAACTCAGTGGACATTGTTTGACTTTTCAGTTCATGAATCCAAAGCACAGAGCCAAATCCACAGAAATTTTGAAGGGCTAAACCATCTTTGGCTAGCTGACCTGAACCCTGTCATGTGACTAAAAAAAAATCTGCTTCTTTCAATGCACTCAAATTTCTCACATCAAAAACAAATACATCACTCTATGCATTTAATCCATTTAAATGTGGTCAGGCCTTTGTTAGTAGCATCACGACCATTGGATTTCCATTTCAAATGAGAACTGTTGCTGCTGAATAAGACATGTCAAGTTCGGGGTGGGTTAACTGATGGATAGTGAAGCACTCGACACAGCTGAGATGTTGGCATTCATGTCCAGCTTCGCACTAATAGGTTATTGACCAACAGGAACCAGTGAGGATTAAAATCCACTAGCTTAATGTGCTCACTGAGCCAAGTCAATAATGTATTCCCTGCCAATGATAAATCTGAATGACATGTTCCAAGAAGCAGTTCAGTTATCAATGAGAATTTATTAAAGAAAATGTAAAGCTAAATTCTGGGTCTTTGCAGCTTACCGTACAAGACAAGCAAATTTCCCATCTGGGACAATAAAGTACAGTAAGTAACCTTCCTTGTAAACGGGTGAAAGGAAGTGTTTACTTTCTACAGCCTCCTGATGGGAAATGCATAAGCATTCAGAACACAGAAAATTACTCCAATTATGTTCTGTGTGTCTATGTATTAATAAAATGATTTCCAAACGACTGTACTGCACAATCAAATGTTTGTGTTGACTTTGCACACTGGGTCCTAATGATGTAGTTTTATTTCAGCAGTACACTGTAGCACTTTGTGAATTTTTTTTTATACAAACTACTAACTGGGGGACATCATTTCTTCTGATCTCTGTATTTAGTGCTGTGGTCTTATTTGAGTTGCTGTCAGTTTTTCTGTACTCTTTATAAAACAAAAAGTCTTCTCTAACCTTAACCTATAAACTGCAGCATGTGCTTTGTTGTGAAACCGATGGTGCCGTTACACAGACTATTGAGATTTAATGCCTAAGGTTCGAACTACTGCACATTTTCTGTGTTTACTTAGACATGTATTGAGTATTATTGGTTGACCCTGCATTGTGGTTATTTTAACTGCATGTTGTTGTTTTTTTGCTTTGGAATTTGGGCACTTGAGTGCTGCTTCACCACAAACATTTTTTTAATCCAGTCCTTAAATTCTTTATCATACATGTTTTAGAACATAACTAGACCTGTAACTGTATCCTACAATACAGCTAAAAACAATAACAGATGTAACAATTCTATGATTAAACAAAGATCAGTCACAAATTGATGAAAATACTAGATAAGATCACAATGCAGTATTTATAAGTCCTATGTCATGTGGTCAGTAACAGAATTAAAACTACAATCTTCTCTATGAAAGAGAGACAGAAAGGAAGAAGTTAAAGCTGCTAAGTACTGTATATCTAACATGTCTGTTGAAAGGACCCTAACAGACTTCATCTTCCCCTCCAGAACTGCTTCCACATACAGTATTACATTTATTCTGTCTGCTGTAATTCTAGCAGTAGGACACAGAATTAGAGTTCATTACTCAAAATCAAGATTCTGCAATATGGATATTAAAAATGATGCTTACATAATGAATTGCACATCAAATTACATATCAACAGCTATTAGGTATAACAAAAAGAAGGTCCATGTTGAAAGTTCTTTGTATTGCAAGACGGTTTTTTGTTATACCTGTCCTGACTAATATAAACTATTTAGTTCTGAGCTGTTCGTCACAGCAACAGTGAATATAAAACAGAACTGGAAGTACTGTACATAGACTGTTTGCAAATGTAAATAGAATACAGGCCATAGCCATAACTAAAGGCCTGTTTAGTTCATTTCATTGCTAAAAACATATTGTTCTGATCATTTACTGGTCTCTATATCCATTTCTGTTCATATGTTTTTTTTTTCTCTTATTGAGAGGTTAGCTCTCTTTATTTTTTTAACCTTGCTGCTCACTTAGGGTTTTCAACTTGAATATGCAGGGAATATTTTAATTCTCTTTCACTGACAAAAGCAAAGGAGAGATTTGCAATTAACTCTTTAGTTTCAGGGCCTTCTTTGTAAGCTCAACCTTTTTAACCACCAGCTCTAGGTTTTTGTAGGCCATGTGGTTCTTGCACTAAATAGTAAGATGGCTGCTAATAATAATGTCTGTCTAAAGCCCATACTGTAGTTCTACAATTCTTACTGCATCAGAAAGGAGTTTGGAACTCCCTGCCAAATGACCATGGCTGCACATTTCTTTACTACGATGTTCTGCTCCACTATTCTGCTGCCTTTCTTAAAAACACAGTTTTTTATTTTTGTGTAATTTGTTTCAGAGCCCTGTTGATTTCCCAACTGTATTTCTTATGTGACTGTTCTCCTTAGCTGTTGTTAGTTTTCTGCTGTAGCACTGCACACTGCAAAGATGTGAGTTGTCACAGTGAAAAAGTAAAACTGCTAGATAAAAACTTTTTGATTGGAGGATTAACCCTTTAATTCCTGAATTTCATCACATCACAAGCAAACTGTTTTATAATGTGTGAGTGTTCCTTGTGAAGAATGAACTTTAGAAGTATCATCTCCTGTGTTTCATCTCAGTTCATAGATGGTGATTATTAGGAGGCCATGATGGGTAAAGACCGGGGGGAAATTTGAGCAGGACATCAGGATTTCTTATTTCTGGCCTGTTAACCTAGTCTAGTCAAATAGTGTTCTAAAGAGAGCTTAACATTTTTTTAACTAAGACTGTGGCATGAACGTAAAGCTCACTACTTTCCTGCATCAAAAAACAGAAATGGGCCAAAATGAAAAAATTATAATAGATTATCTTTTGACATTTATAGTGTCCTCTGGTAAATCTCTGGATGTATTTAGATTTTTTTAAACGCGACTATAGTCCTGCTGACTTCCCATTTTTGAGAAATTAAATTTGAAGACGTGAGGGACATGGCCAAATATGAACTTTAAGCTTCTGGAGAAGGCAGCTGCTAGTTTTTTCTGCCATCCTTTTCAACAGTTGAAACACAAGTGCCTTCTATCAACTTTTTAAATCAATTGTTGAGTCGGACAGTTTGGTGACAACAGCAACCCCATTTCAGAGATAACACGCAAGGCAACTCTCACTCTGAAGGGGCATTAAAGGTTAGCGATAAATAAACGCAACAAGAAAAAGAAAAATAGGTCAGTTCAAAGAACTGCATGACTTTATATTAAGTGCTAGGGTGATGGTGAGTCCCATTTTTAGCCTTTCTCAGACAGAGATCAGAAACAATAATCAAAATATTCAAAATAATATAATCAAGATTCAAAGGTCAATATAGAGTTGACAGTTACTGTGTATGTTTTTTGCATAAAATATTGACAGTTTTCTGAAATGTTAAAATATGGCAAAGACAAAGGCAAAGTACATACCAGCACAATGGCTCACTGGGCTGGAGCTCACCATAGTTACCATGGTTACCACCAAGAAGAGAGACCTGATAAAAGGATCAGGAAGATGACATCCTTATGAAAGTATAACTAATTCAGGTTTTTTCTAAAGCAAAATGTCACAACAGTACCTTATTGATATAATAAAACAAAGAAATATGTAGTACATTTTAATCTCAGGTACAATGAAACATGAGTGAAAATGTAAAAGCTGTGTTTACTGATGCTAATGTGTTTATTGATGCTAATGTGATCATGGTTACTTTCATTAAACATTATTTTTTTCTTTTATACCTTTAAAAGAGGTGTGATAAAGTCCTAGTAATAAAGAACAGTATAGAAAAAAATAGAACCTACTGTATAAGAAAAGTAATAAAAAAGTCATTTGTCAAAGCCCTTGCAATCCTCTCTCTTCAAGGGTAAAAATGTTCATTTCCTGCAGCCTGTCAATGGAGGACATTGCCTTAAGCCCTTGAATGTACTGTATCCGGCTGCTATTCTCTGGACTGATTCCAGGGTAGCAATATACAGTATTTTATATAACATGGCAACCAAAAAAACTGCATGCAGTATTCTAAATGAGGACCTAGTAGTAACTAGTTCAACATAAAATCCTTTATTTAAATTCTACACTTTAACCTAAGTTTATATTCTATAATTCTGTTTGCCCTTATTACTGGCTTCCCCACATTGTGTAGGGAACATACTGTACAGGGTCTTGCAAGAGTATTGGACTCCTTCCTATAGTGTCCCCTTTTCTGGAACTGCATTCACACAATAACCCTCAATAAGAAGAGAACCAGCAATATACGTACAGTAGTTTCAGGGCTTGATGAGCCAAACTGATAAAATTCCCTTGGAGGGAAAACCAGACGACATGGACTGGGAAAAACTGGTTTACAGGAATGTTTGCTGTAGGAGGAGGAGATTTTGGGATACTGATTTTCCAAGATTGTATTGTTAAACAAAGAAGGTTTAAAAAATTATTTCACAAGCCAATAACTTAAATTATTGCATTTCTTGCACTGTTTTTAATGAATTAATAACTATCAAACTGACATTAAGTCGGCTTGACAGAGTTAAGATCGGTATGAGAATGAATATTCCCAAATAAGGAAACCAAAATGATATTTACTGTTCTGTATGTTCAAGATTTCTGTGTTTTGGAAATGAAATACAAAGATATACTACATCTTTTATGTGATAACATAAAGCTGAAAAGTAAATGCACCATTCGTCAGGCTCTGAACTAGTGCACTGTCAAATGAAGAAGAACTTTTGGTCTCCTGTCTTACTTATTTTGAAATGCTCGAGGGCCAGAAGTCATAATCCCAACCTTGAGACATCACACATGCATGTTCACATGTTCCCTGATTTTGCATCTCTCTTGTCGTTGCTTTGTAGGAGGAGCCCTTTGTGATGGTGTCTGAGAATGTCTTGGGAAAGCCAAAGAAGTACCAAGGATTTTCCATTGATGTTCTGGATGCTCTGTCAAACTACCTGGGATTTAAGTATGAAATCTATGTGGCGCCTGATCACAAGTACGGAAGCCCTCAAGCCGATGGAGTTTGGAATGGCCTGATAGGAGAGCTGGTCTTCAAGGTGAGCTCAACAAATAAGATGGCCAAAGAACTGTTACATCTTTGGAATGAATGCTTCATTTAGTAAAAATAAGTATTTAGTAATAATGCTTTAGTCATGATGTACCACAGTGAAGGCTCGATGGGATACATGTCTAATAGACAAGCATGCTAGACCAGAAAAGGCTGCCATTGTCAAATAAGCTTCATTTGACAGGATTGTTTTTCTGCATATAAGCAATTGACAGTATGTAAGGCAATGCACCCAGACTTGTCAAGTATTTTCTGCTTCTCTTCGTATGAGCTGCTTTGACTGTGATCTAAATGGTACATGTGATTTCTATTCATCATCTTCATTCCAGATCTGACTTAGGCTTCTGAAAAGAGTGATTTCTTGGAATGAAGCTCCTCCAGTCTGCTTCATCTGTGTTGAATTCAAAGAGTTTCTGACCCCCAAAAGGCTTGCCATTCTGCTCCCTTATCTTTGAGTTTTCCTTCCAGTTATACATTTTTATTTATTTACTGTTTGCCTTTGTGCTGACTTTCATTAATCAAACAGACAGCTCTGCTTTGAAAGAAGAAGTTAAACAAAAGATCAGAATCCAGCTTCCCAAGTACCAGCGACTAGGGTGATTGAAAGAGACACAGATTAGAGCAGACATTTATGTCATTTGAGTTTTCCTCCTTTCTTTCTACTTGCCTGCACTCTTTCTATATGGTTTGTGTGATGTGCTACTGGTCTTTTTACTCCTTTTTTTTACTTCCTACTTTAAAATACTGTGATATGTCTCAGAATGCTTTGTTGACTCCTACTGTTTCAAGTTTATGACCAAAACAATCTGTTAAGGTGTCAATTCATGGGTTTTTGTCAATTTATTTTAATAAGTGAGTCTAATGTCATTAAGGTTATTAAGTAATGCAGTAAGTTGAAAAGTTTGCATTTGGGAAGTGGATTTCAGTAGACTAAACTTGTAAAGAATAACAACTTGCTTAAGTGAGCATGAACTCATAAAGGCGTTATTAATAATGATAGTTTAGAAAGAACCTTATAGTGGAGCATATGTAAATTCCTGAAATACTAAGTGTGTGTAGATTCCATGCTATAAAGTTGAATTGGATGCCTTACATATAGTATGAGTTCTGATGAAAGACACATGGCATTTTGCTTCACATGACTTGTGAGCTTGTTGGTAGGATATTTGGTGTATGTACAGTACACATACTGTTCATGAAGTTCTGTGTAGTATCCATATGCCTGAGGTAGCCTTTGAGGTATCCCATTAACATCACATTTGGACCTGACCATAGCATTGTTTCAATTGAACCAGCAGTACTGTCTCTTTCTTCATGATTAACCAAATTCTCATGTGAAAGTCCTGATTTATTCTTTGACCGTATCTCCACCATGTAAAACAGAATCCTTTACTGCTGTACCTGTGCCACAGTCATATCATGCGATCTATTGCAGTTTGATTGTTCTGTGTTCTTTTTCATGTGCAATACCAAACTGTTGGAAAGTATTGTTATTAAAACATTTAAGTAGGTTTGCTTTGGTACATTTAATTAAAACATGCAGTAGTTTACAATTGAGGCAAATACCTCTCAAGCACCATCTTTGGGCTAATAAAGGACCTCTCTTGAAGACCCTCTTCCTCTTTCTCCTCAGTTAATAGGGAGTTAGTCTGACTAGTCTAACTAGAAGACTCCTAGAAATTATGACAATGTTTTGAGTGTGCCTTATTGAAAAGGTATGTGCTTGTCAACAGAATATTCCTTTTTACTCAGAATACAACAAGGGCCACACATTAAGCCCAGATCCAGAAGATCAACCTTATTTTACTGTAGAAAGATGCTGTGTATTCTGTTACTTCCATCTTATTTCAATATTTTCAGCACTAATTTGGTTTTAGGAGTGAAATGTTGTTGTAGACCTGTAGTAATTATATTATTCTGCAGTGTATATTATCATTACTCAATTAAGCTAATATACCTACATATATTAAATTCTGTGATATGAAACACAATATCAAACACAATAATAATGATATACTCTTAGATTACATAGGATCAGTTTCCAAACAGTACTATTTTTTTAATTTTCTTTAAATTTGATTTAGAATTAGTAGTCATAAAAAGCTAACTGTAAATAAAGCTTCACATAAATGAACAACTGTGCCTCTTCTGATGTATGTGTTTTTTTAATTATGTTGTACAATTTTCCATTAAAAAATCAATATGTGCACTGCTCAAGCAAAAAGATAATTTTATATATTATGAGAAAAACTACGTTTTCTTCCAAGCTCACTTAAACAATGTGTAAAACATTTTTCAGATTTCTATGGAACAATAAATCCTGAAAAACTGTGCAGAATGTAATTTTAGTTTGCTTAGACATCAAAATCATAACTGATTAAACTGGTTTAACATTTTCAATAGTGTTTTACGCGTGATCATGAAAATATTAGTACTTTTTCATAGTCATGTTCGTTGAATGTAAATCAATTTAATGTGCAAATTTATCATGTGTTTCACTGTTCAGTGCAATATTAACTTGAGTAATTTTGAAAGTCTCCGAGCAATTTATTTAGTTTTTTTATGCAATTTAATTTATTCCAAATAAATGTAATTCATTCTAAGTTAATATACAGTAAGTAATAATCAAAACCCATATAGGAAATATTACAAATACTATACCATACTAAAAAAGAACAGGAATTTCAAATAGTAAGAGTACAATCCAATGTGTTAAATGTTTTTTTTTTAAGTTTGTTTTTTTCATACATTTATTTTGAAGCAAATTATGGGTAATATATCCTGTGGTAAGGGGATGGTAAAATTCAATTTAAATTGCAATCTTAAAAGTAGCTGAAGCAGTGCAATTCATTTTTGAACATTCCAGGGAATAAGTGGAGTGGTGATATATTAGAGTGAAAGTTTTTATAATTCACTTGATAATTACAAACACTCAACTTTGTTTTCTCTAAAGGTAGGAGTATGGATACAGTATAGTATGAAATTGTAAAGGGAATTGAAATTACGCAGTATCCCATGTGAAATTTCAAGATAGAAGTTGTATAATAAATTACTCCAGTTTCACTTGATTCATTGACACTATCACAGAATATGACTGTGTGTTTGCAGGGTATAATTGAATAAAGAGAAGTCCTATTGAGCATGCATTGAAATAGCTTACAATGCATGAGCATGGATAGAGCATTGCTAGAGGTGGATGATTGCTGCTGTTATATAATTCTGTTCTGGTTTTCTTTAGAGAGCAGATGTGGGGCTATCGGCTTTAACCATCACTCCAGATCGGGAAAGTGTGGTGGACTTCACTACGCGTTACATGGACTATTCAGTGGGTGTGCTCCTGAAGAAGGCTGAAAGGACAGTGGACATGTTTGCTTGCCTGGCGCCCTTTGACCTCTCTCTGTGGGCATGCATTGCTGGCACAGTCCTGCTGGTGGGGATACTTGTGTACCTACTTAACTGGCTCAACCCTCCTCGTCTGCAAATGGGCTCGATGACTTCGACCACCCTCTATAACTCCATGTGGTTCGTATATGGCTCCTTTGTACAGCAGGGTAAGTCCCTTCCAGATCATAGGAACACTTCTCACATGACTCTTTCTGCTTAATCTTAATTGTGCCACCTGGGTAATCCAGGAATTTCAAAATGACCACAGTTTTTATGTTACTGCTTCCTGTACCTGTCCACCCAGTCCTGGTGCAGTGTGATTAAAAACTGGCAAAGTCTTCAAGACTCAACTCAGTCAGCTGAAGGAAAGCAAATGAATTTTCTCCAAAAAGAAGTGACCCATGTAATTAATGCTTTCAGGGAGCGTGAAGGTGGTAGGAGACAGATCAGTACATCTGATGTTAAAAGCACACCTCAGAATACTTTGATTTGCTAATAAATGAAAGTTTATAACAAACTTAAATGCAAACATGAACCACTTATTTCAAGGATATAGGGATTTAGGACCCGGTCCATGTACCGTGTCCTGAAGAGCATGGTATGAATCCGTTACGTCACACACGAATTTAACACAGGACAGTGTTAAAGGGGGAGCAGGCTGTGTTAATTATAACATCCACTCTTCTCACTTTGTCACTTAGTCACCATAGATTATACTCCTACTCAACAATATTTTGAATGTATCAAAAAATATTCAAGTTGTCAAGCTGCCACTATCTTCTGCTGTTTCTGATGTTTGCCCTCTTCCAAATTACAGAACAGTGCCTCGTTATGACATTGAGAAAATAGTCTCAAAGCCACTAACTTCTTCGAGTAGTTTAGGACCTTGTTCAACCAGACTATTCTGGCAAATACTGGAAACATTATTTTTTGTTTTCTGATATGTCCCCACCAAAATTGAAGCTAAAGCAGTTTAAAAACTAAATTTAGTATCCTTTAGAAATCCAAGCTTCTCTCTGGGGTTATAGCAAAATAATACCCTATACCTTATTAACATCTTTCCCCCAGAATACTCAAAAAGATACTGTCAGTCCTTAAAGTTTATTTTTCAAAACTGGTAATCTAATAGCACTTCAAGTTGACAACTTACTTATCTCAAGCAAAAATAATTTTTCTGTAACAACTGCAATGGAAAAGTGATAACAGAATATTCCTTTAAATAACCAAGTCTAAACTGTCCTTTGGTAGTAATTTGCAAAACGGCAGGGATGTGTAATAAAATCTCTTTAGCATGAAGTCTTTTTTTCATTTACAAGGCCTGACTTTCTTCTGTGTTTTATTTTTGTAAGGTATGTAAGACGCATAAACTTACAAGAACAATGTATTAGTTATAGAAAAATGCCTCAAGACTTGCTCTTTCGAAAGCTGTAGCCGGTGTGATTTTAGCAGTATTGCTGAAGACTACTAGCAGAATAAGGGAAGAATGACCTGTCAGCTTGAATTTGACTGCCTGTGCCCTCTTTTGCTTTCTCAAAATTGCTTCTGTTGGTTGGTCCAGTGGCAAGAACAAGAAATGTTTAACTGCTTTGGGACAGCACTGACGCATTAACAGTTTCCAGAAGTGGGACTACACAGCAATCTGTATGTCTTATTGACTAACACCTCCCTAGAGATCTTTCTGAAGGCTTTTTTCATAAGATGCGAACAAAACTTTTAAGCAATTACCGTACAGCAGATTGAGTGTACTTCAAAATTAGTTAAGCATCTACCACAGTATGCTTCACTTCAGCTGTACAGCATCTGTTATGTCCAAGTGCTTTGGATCAGCATTTTCTAACTTTTAAAAAAACACTATATACTGTACTGTACACTGACCTTAAAAAGAACTATCACTTATATTATATTATCAATTTGGCCATTTGGTTATTGTTCTTAGATGGGACTCATATCATAAATCCTCAGCTAGGAAGGCAGTCATGCTTTATGTTTTCAGGAGAGGATATTACCCACTAGTGAATTTGGTATATGCATACTGTATGTACTTTATATAAGCAGTACAAACACTATATGTTGTTTCTCCCATTTAGAGAAAGATTGTCCTGGAGTGCATAGAAACTGAGCACCATTTGCTTGAGTACAGCAATGTTTGGGTGTGCTAGCAAACTGAGCAACATTTGACCACAGTGGAACATCATTTTGGGTGAAAAGAATCAGGAGTGTGTGTCATTTTTTAACTTTCCTTTCAGCTGATTACTATTTGCCTCCTGCTGGGACTCCAGTCAAACCTGTTGCCCTCTGCCCTGTAACCAGACACTCAAGGTTTTTACTGCCAATACAGATTTGGTACTGGTAGCATGTGCCATGCCTTTCCAGAGAACAGGATCAATGTGTTACAAAGCATTATTTAATATGTACTGTTTGCCCAGTCAGGTCTATCACTGCCCTTTTGAGCTAGACACTTAAGCATGACTTTTTGTAAAGTAGGTTTCAGATGTTGAACACTTATAAAAGGCAGTTCCAGCATAGAGCAGGACTTGTAACTGGAAAACAATGAATTAAAATCACATATGAGACACTGCTGTTGTACCCTTTAGCAAGGTACTTCACCTGAATTTCTCCCTACAATAAAGAGTGTGAATGTAAGTCACTTAGGATAAAATACAATATTTTGTTATTATAGGTTTCCTTATGAATAATGTATTACTGTATCTTCAAAATGTTTAAACAATGATAACAATTAAACAGGTTATTATCTTGATTAAGGGCTTCATTAGTTCAGAGGTCAGTTGGAATAAGAGTATGGAGAGACAAGAGGTTAAAGTGATTTCCTTTATTGCTCATTTATCACAGAGTGAGGAAACTTGGCCCAAAAGATTTTCAGGCTATTTCTTTCCATTCCTACAGACCCCATTTTTTGTAGCCAATTTCCATTCAAATCCAGCTCCCATGCTGCAGTGTAGCCCCTGCTTAAGCCTGTGAGTGCTACAGAAGGCCCATGAGCAGCATCTCCTGAGGAGAACATGATCCAGGCAACTGCTTCCCTTTGTACCTCAGGCCTGGTCAGAAGAGGGCTGACACGATCTCACTGAGTACACCATGACTTGCAAGTGCACAAGCACTGAGGATGGAGCAGGTGACATTTAGAGATACACAAGGAAGACAATATTGTAATGGGGTACCTTGTGATTCAGCACAGCTTTGGATTCAAGATTTGTGTTTTGTATTTGTATTACGGTCACAGAAATCACTGCAGTAGTGTCCAAGAAAAAGGGATATACTGTACCAAAATGCTAAAAAAATTTTTTTTAATACTGTTCTTGTCAAAGGTGTGTTTTAGCCATCACTACATTCAAAATGCCCTCTGTCGCAGAAGAGATCTGTTTCATCCTTCATATGATGAAGTATACATCTGTCATTTGTATCAGAATGTGACAGAAAAAATGATTTTCCTCGACTGGAACTGCTGAAGTGCAGATCCATCACCACCCATTTGCAAAATGATTTCAGTCTTCGCTGATTCATTTTGTACATCGGCATTGAATCACTGATAATGAGCAATTATGGTAATGATCAATCATGAGTGAATTACAGTCTGAAGTGCTGCTTATTGTTTGCTGCCATGGATGAGGAGATTAGCGCAGCAATATTATATTGTTTATAGCTGACATATTAACTGAAGCAGAAAGCTGGTATTGACTGGAGACATTGCAGATGTTGATGATGATAGAATATTTGCATGTTGGATATGCTTGTTTGCTGTAAACTTCTTTTTATGCCTGGCTTTGAGATGATGAATGAAAAGCTATTCACTGCTGGAAGATGAAGTGTGATAATAGGTACATTTTAGTTCTCTAGAGGAATTTTTGCTTAGACACCTAGCTCTGTAATTCCGCTACTTACAGGAATGCGTTTTGCCATTCTGTTGCCGTTTCCTTTTTTTGATTGATTTTATTATCCTTAGTTTTATTAGTTCTGTTAGAGATGCGATGATAGGGTTGGTGACAGCCATGTGGAGCTCAGCAGCTTCAGTTAACTTTAAAATGCAGTCTCATCTCTCAGGTGTTGTAATATGGGTTCAGACCATGCGCCGTGGCATAATAGTCAGTGGTGTTTCATCAGTTTTGTAATGGCTTTAGTACTATTTCCCAAGAGTTGCCAAACTGAGCAGGACTGACTACAGAACTACAGACTTCTGCACATGGGCAAAGACTAGAGTTAGCATTTTCTCCCTGCATGTAAGGTTATCTGTTCCTGGCATCTGGATTGATGTGATGTTGGGCCACATTGCAGACTCCTATGTCTAAATGTCTAAAGTGGTTTATCAGTTTCACATTATAGATAGCATTCAAAATCCAAAATGTTATGTGGCAGTGTCTGCAGGTTTTTCTATTCATAGGAGAAATACATAAGCATGTATCTGGGCAGTTAACAGTTCCCAGCTTGATTTTGCAGCAGAATTCATTTACATCTGAGAACATTTACATTTACAGTATTAGTTATGAGTACTCTTTTCTTGACATTGTTTATTGTTGAAGAGCTCATGACCACATAATTAAATATCTTCATTAACTTACATTCTGAGGTTTATTTATGGAGTCGTAGAGCTGTGTCTGCCTTCATCTATGGTATAGTAAAGAGTGCACTAATGGGGGGTTTCAGAGCTGGTGACCAAATGGGAGATTCATTTTCTTGCAGAAGGTGCCATACGGCTTTTAAAAGAAATACAGCTAGAAAACAGTTCTTTCTATGACCTGAATAGGCCCAGTAAGACACATTTATTGTGAGCAAATATGTAAATTGATATGTTAATTATGTTAAATATGTTCATTTATTTAAGAACAAAAAAAGTAAAAAAACAAAACGATGTGAAGTCTCCAGTAGATTTCAATGACAGTGCAGTGCTGAGCAGAGCAGCAAAGGGAAGTACTGTACCGAATTCCAGGGATCAATGGAATACCTTGTCTGTTTAATTACAATACTGTACATATATTGTGTAGAAAACAAAATTCTGAAATAACAACACACAAATCATTCAAGCATTAAGCGTCCCCTGTGCCCCTAAAATTCAGATGAAAAGATCTAATTCAGCAGCCGATAAAATGAATCTGACCATCGGACTAACTAAGGGCTTTCCCACAGCCTATCGTTCCCACATCTCACATTGTTT